GAAATTGTACATGCATGCTCATATTTTTACAATAGACCATGTTTTTACCTTGTCTTTGAAAGAAATGGCTCCTTAGAGCATGAAAGTGAAGCTTGAAATGGCTTAAATTCATGCATGTTGGCATGTTTTTCATATTCTTGAAAAGTGGTTTGAAAGTAAGTTTATTTGAAACACCCTTGGGCCTTGATTTTACAAATTAAGCTTTGAATCATATTAAGTATGAGTTTTGAGTGTGTTTTCTGGAAAATTGGCCCAAGAGGATCGAAAGTTATGGTTTTAAACTTGGTTTTGAGCTTGAGGTTCAAATCTGGAATTTCCAGAATTTGGACTCACGCTCGAGCGGGGTGACTGGCGCTCGAGCGTGGAAATCGTGCTTCCAGCATTTTGTTCTGTTGTGAAGTCCGCTCGAGCTGGGTAATTGGCGCTCGAGCGGGACCTTGTGTCTTAAGCTCGAGCGGCTATCGGGCGCCCATCAAGCGTGATTTTCGAGCTTCCAGCACTTTTGACTGTTTTACAGAACGCTCGAGCGGGTAAGTCGACGCTCGAGCGGAAACCTTTGTCTGCATGTCCGCTCGAGCGGAGTAACCTACGCTCGAGCGTGACCCCTGTTTTCTGAAAAATCTGAACATGCTTTTAAAGTACATCTTTGCATCCTCATCCCATTCTAGGCATTGTTAAGCCTAGTTTAAAGCATCTTAATGAGGATATAGATGTAGAACACACCGAGGCAAATTAGGGATTAAGTTATTATCTCTTCCAACTGTGTAGCTTAGTGTGTGTTCAATCTGTTAACTGTGTAGGATTGGCTTTCTGAGGAGACGCTCTAGCTTACTGTAGCCCAGAACTCTGTGAGTAACAACTGTGTAAAGATATGTTCAAAATGATTATCTTCTGAACAATTGAACCGTACTGCTTTCTGAACTGATACTGTTAATTGAATGAATGTATGTCCTATATTCTGAACTGTATTGTGGCATCCTTAGCAACTACTGTTTACTGTTACTGTTACAGAGATCTCTGTCGTTCCCTCGTGGGAACCACTACTGTTACTGACTGATGGCCATCATGTACTGTTCGCTTTAAGACCTACTGTTTACTGTATGTTTATGCTAATGGATGTACCACATATGACTGTACTGACTGAACGACTGAAATACTGATTTAATGAACTGTTTTCATTACTGTAAGGACATTCATTCTTAACCCCTTTACGCATTGTGTTATTCACTGGGCTTTAGCTCACTGCTCATATATATATGTAGGTGTACAGGCACTAGAACGTGACTAGAAGCGTCGGGGGTAAACTCCAGTTTTGTCAAGCCAACCACTGTGCCTCATTGCGAGGTTCCGAGCCTGCCATGCTATGGCTTAGGGGTCTTTTATTTCCCCCTTCTGTCTATGTATCTGTTTTGTGAACTGTATAGACTGATAGCACTGTACTGTACTACTCTATAAGGGAGTGAGTCCCTGTTCTGAATGAATGTAAATATTGTACATACTGTTCTGTATTGTTTACGTATATATGTATGAAAAGTCTTTTGCATACAGACCGTCACAGCTCATTGGACATTGTTTATTTACTGTATTGGCTTCCGCCAGGCCCCTGTACTCTGTTTTACTGTTTTATTGTTAAGCAGACCTTCGGTAATCTCGGATTACTGGCCAGTTACGGTGCTAAACCCATGGGGCCGGGTTTGGGTCGTGACATGAAATTTAGTGTCGACCCTTCCTGTCCAAGGGTCGACACCTTGCCTTGACAGCATTGTCATTTCTTCCTGAAAGGTCGACACCACCACACCAGGGGTCGACCCTTGCGTGTTTTTTTTTTTTTCCAGAATTTTGGGGTTCTTATGGGCCCTACTTTGGGGGGTTTTGGACTTATCCTTTTCATTGATCTTAGGAATACTTTTCTACTACTATAAATAGACCCAAAACACTCTTTTCTCATAATTTTCTCCTCCTCCTTTCACTCAAATCGTGAGTCTCTCTCTCTTTCTCTCTCTCTCTCTCTCTCTAAACTCAATTTTTTCCCACTTAGATCCTTAGATCTACTCATCTAGAAGTATCTTCTCACATGGGTCCTTTGAGAAAGGTTGTAGAGCGCATCAAGGGCTTTCTATTGATCCGAGAGCACATCAAGGGCTTTCTTTACTCTCTCTTTTCAAACCTTGTATATAAATGCTATTAAAACCCATATCTATGATGAAAGAGAAAAACCTCCAAATTTGATAAAACCCTAAATTCTCAAATTGAGTAGAAAACACCAAATTGAATGGAGTTTCCTTCATTTCATGAAATGTTATAAATAATGAAGAGATGAAAGATGTGGATGTTGATATAGGCCCTGTTTGGTAGAACTGTGGAAAAGTGATTATAGCTTATAGTTTAACAGCTTATAGCTTATAACTGTGAACATAAGCCGATTTTTGACTTATAAATTAAGTTTCTTCTCCCCCACTCAAAGAATAAGTTGATTTTTGACTTATAAAAAGTTATAAGCTGTATTGTTAAGCTGAACCAAACACATCAAAATAGCTTAAATTAAGCTAAAAGCTAAAATAAGTTGTAAATAAGCCCTACCAAACAGGGCCATAGCAAAGGATGTACAACTTGGACGTCATTTTCTTTGAATGTTGTGTTGTATTCCATTCTTTGGTAATGTTGGATGTTTATTAATAGAATAAAATGTGAATGAATTGTTAATATGCATGAGTCTGGATAAGAGTCGGTTTTGGAAATGTGGTGTCACGTTGGTACCCATGCAGGGAGTTTATAAAGGTACCCAAACGCCCTGTCTAGAGTTATCACTAGACGAATGTGAGAAAAATGTTTTTGAATGTCCACATAGCCCCACCGTATAATGGCGGGCGAAAGTGGAAAAACGGATGGTTTTCTTTGGGGTACCCACTCCCTGCTGTATAATAGCCGACAAATGTGGGGGCGGTTTTTAAACATAAAGCAAAGGGTGTCTTGAATTGGACTCTTACAGATGGACTCATGGCTTACTTTCTATGGTTGTGAATGTTTAATTATTGTGCTTGATGACATGAATAATAATTGTCATTGTTTGGTTATTGTGAATCTATACGATTGTTAGAGATTACATGTGAAGATAAATTTCTTTGTAAAGTTTTGCCACATGGATACCATAATCTTATTTAAAAGATTAAATACTTGGTTAAATGTGCTCCTACTAGGCATATAGCTCAACCTTATCTTATTTTTCAGGAATTGACGAAGTACTACCTCTATGATGGATTAGAATAAGCATTAGCTCCTTTTGAAAAGAGTTGATTCATGTGTATTTTGTTATTTTGGATTGGGATTTTGTGACAAGACTATTAATTTATTTTGTTGTTATTGTACGCCCTAGAGGCTTATATTTTGTAAGGCCATTGAACTGGAAGACGAATTCCGAATATTGTGGGAATGTGCATGGTGAATTGTAATCTCTTACCTCTTAGTTAAATGAGAAAGATAGCTTTTTGGGATATATTCTTGTATTTGTCTTGGCATATTCTTGTGGAAAATTTCAGGACGTTACAAGGAACAATATATAAACTGATGTGAAAACAGTCAACAAGAACCCTTAAAAAAGTAGTTGCAAGGAAAGAGCAAATGAAAATGAGAACTAGATTTCAAGCTAAACCTGTACTTACTCATGGTTCAGGCCATCTACAGGGGTATTATCTCAACTATCCAGGTAAAAATTAGTACTTGCACAGGTGTTGACCATATCTTCTAGAACTTGATCATGTGCTTCTAGTTTAGGCTTCCTGACACTATCTTTATCCCAGCAACTAAGTACTAGATTTCAGTTTCTCCACTTCTCTTTGCACTAGTTTTGGTTTGTTTTGACTAGGATATGCCCTAAGGAGCATGCTGGTTAATAGTATTTTTGTTTTTCTCTTGGTGTGAGCTGTGTATGGATATAAGTTCATAAAATCTAGTGATTTGAACTGTGTGTCTGCCCAATTCAAGCCTCTCCCACTAACAATGTTGAAATTTATTGAAGTAAAATCTACAAAAACTGAGCAAGGAACACAACATTCACTAACAATGATGATGACGAATGATGATGGTTATAATAATAATAATAGTGCTGCCAAGTATCACATTAAGCTGAAACTAGTAAGTTGGTTTTGAAAATACAACTCAACTCAACAAGCCATTGTCCCAATTAATGAGATCATCTACATGTATCTATTTCCTAAATGAAAGTATTTTTGGTTAAGTATAAAGACATCCCAAAAAATATAATGAAGTAAATAGTAACAATTCCCTGTTTAACAATTGTATCCTAGCTTTGTATATAAAACATCTATTATCCATCATAGTACAGAGCCATGAGACACAAATAAAGAAAATTAAAGGGATCTCACAACAAGATGGGATGTTCTGATTGAGAATTTTTCACTAACACTTGATGGACCATTTAATTGCAAACAGTCAAATGATTCCCTCCCTCCCTAAAGCCACAATTTTGATCAATCAACACAACCCTCCTTCCCTCCCTTCCTAAAGCCATAATTTTGATCAATCAACACAACAAGAAAAAAGATCATAATTGGGTCCCTTTTTTTTTTCTCTCTCTTCTTCCAAAAACCATGATAGAATTCACACAGTCAATTAAGCACCATAGTCTTCTCTCCACACCCACACAGGCATACATACATTTGTATATATGTAGTTGTGTAATTATAAATTTATTTCATTTTCATTTTTAAATCTCTCAATTGTTGGTCTTTTCAGATTCATAAAATGTTTCAAATTTTGAATTTTGAATTCAATCCTACATTTTACAATCTTAATTCTTTTTTTTTTTTTTCTGCTTTCACATGATCATAAAAAATACAAAAAACTTACAAAAATTCAATTTGAATGTTACACAATCTACCTATATACCTATACATATATATATATATATATATATTCATAAATATTTCTAAAATGTAAGCATGTAAAGATTCAAAAATTAAGATTATGATGAAAGTTTTTACCTTTTGTTCGATCTCAGGAACCTTCAAGACTTTCAAATTCACCTCGCTCTTTCTACGATGCAACCCCAACACATATACATAAATATACAACGATAACGAAATGAAGAGCAAGGATTGATAACACGAGAGAGAAGGGAATGAAACTCACATTTTACAGACCGTTCGATCGATAACTTTCATGAAATCCATGGTTGGATCTGGAACAGAACAAAAAGAGGAATTGCAGATAAACAATGTGATGTGTAATTAAATATTGGTACAATTGATTGATGGATTCTAGAAGAATTTAAAAGGAAGGTTAAGTTTGGCAAGTTGTCAAAAAAATAAAAAATTAAAAAGTTATTTAAAAAGTTAAAAAATTATCATTATTTATTAAAAGTCAAAAATTACGGTTGCATAATTTTTAATCTTAATTTTTTTTTATACACTAATTTATATAATTTTTTAATACATATTTTTTTTTATAAAAAGTCAAAAAATTAATCCAAACATCTATATTTTTTTTTCAATTTTTTAGTCAAAAAAAGAAAAAAATGCACTTATTTAAGACACCCCAAACAACCTAAGAATTGTGATTTAAAGTATTAAAATGAATACAAATGTGAGTGGATAAAAGGGTAAACGATATCCGATTAACTTGATTTTTTGTAGGTATGTTTTACTTGATATATTTTAAAATATGAACGGTTTGGATTATTGAAATGGGCCAATTTGGCCTTTCAATTGTTTAGTAAAAGTAAATCAACTCCACCCACATTAAAATAAAAATACACTCTTTTTTATTACTTGGAATGGACGCATTTGATGGAGAAATGAAAATCAAAAGAAAACGCATTACCTTAAATTCTATAGTGACTTATTAATGCTTCTTAATTAATTATTGAAGTGATTAATAATTTCAATTGTGTTTTAAATTGAATTATAAGATAGGCGATAAATTTATTTTATTCCCTTCTTGCAATTCAAAACAGTAGGTATGGTTTAACCAATGTGTTTTTTTAGTTTTTTCCCAGTATGTATAGTTTGTTTCATTGTGTTTTCAATTGTATTTTCCATTGTTTGTTTGTTCAATTGTATTTTTTCCATTTTTTATTATGAACTTGGGGTTGTTTGTTCTATTGTTCTTGGGAATGTTCTATTATATTTTCAATGTGCTGGGTTAGTTTTATTTGATAGTTGGTATAAATTGCTAATGAAACGGTTTTTGTTTTTGTTTTTTGTTTTTTTGGCATAAATTTATGTTTAGACTTTCTAAATAATAAATGGTTAACGGATTTTAATTTCATCTCTATAAAATTGAAATCAGTTGGGAAAGAGAAGAGTTCAAATTTGGACAATTGTTGTGCTCCGATTTTAATACTCTTCATGTTGCTAGGGCTGATTTTAATTTTATCATTTTAATGTGATTGTTAAAATACATCATTGATGGGTTTAAAATTAAATAACCAAATACAAGTTCTTTAAAAAGAAAAATATTTTAATATATTTTTATAACTGCATTTTAATCTTAATATTATTTACACCGTGCCTTTAGGCACGGGCATACGCTAGTATATATATATGTGGAACAGATGAGCAAAGATTGGAGGGAGTTATGGGGACGGAAACGTAATCGGATGCATCATAAAAGAGAGAAACACTAATGATAGGAACATAAGTAAAATTGGATTTTCTTTAAGATAAAATTGAAAATCAAGGGTTTAGTTTAAGAGGATATTACCAATCTACTTATGTTAGTAAAGTCCAGTAGTTTAGTGTCAGACCCTAAATTTCTTGTTAAGTTTGTTGATTAATAGGTATTTTTTTAATATTATAAAATAATTGATTTTACATTTATTTATTAATGTATATCTATTATTTTTGTATAATGATAAAATATATATATATATATATATATCAAAAATTATTTATATATAACAATACTCTATAATTATTTTTTACGTTGTCCTCAATTATAAAAATTTAAGGTGAGAGAAGCTTGATTCAAAATTGTTTTTTTTTTAAATTAAAAAAAAAATTGGATTAAAATTTAAGAAAAATTAGTCTATGGTCCCTCTCCTACTTTTCGTAATGAAAGAGATCCACAAAATTATTTTTTGATGTCTAAGGTTCCTAAACATATATCAGAGAAATTTGACTCTTTGTCTCTCCTTCAGAATCAAAAGCATATCGAAGACTACATCATCATCTCTACACTACAGCAATTACCCAAATACTCAATTCATTTGTGTGCTTTCCTTAGTCATACATGGCGCAGAAAACGTATGTGGTGTTTCAACCTCCTCATCACCACAAGAACGACAATGACAACGATGATTTCCAAGATTCCTGCAGATCATCTCTACCACCTAAACCCTGGCCACAATCTCAGCCTCTGAAACCCTCCCCTTTCGCTAATACTGTTCATCCATCCAAGCGACCCAAACCCCCATTGGGTTTGGGATCCTCTTTTCCCTCAAAACCTGCAACAACTCCCCATCATTTTTATCCAGATTTCACTACCAACCAGCTCACGAGTAGGAACACCAAGATGAAGATCTATTGCTCTGCAACTGTGGACACGGCAATGGAGTTACGCATCAATGAACCCCAAAACAATTTCACAATTCCACTTTGCAGATAGTGCTAAGCCATGTAAACTCACACTTCTCATGCATATACCCTCATATGGTGCACCCTCCAGAAATTATCTCTGTGTGTCTTTCTGTATTTTTTGGGAATTTCTCTGGGTTGTGGAGTCCAAAGAAATTCTTCCCAGAATTTATCTGGGTTGAGAGAATTTCTGTAGAAAGATTTGTCTGGGAATTTCTCTAGGTTGGGAAATTTTCTGGGTTCCAAATTAAGCATTCCAGGTTCCAAATTGTGAACTGGATTTTTTTTTCATTTGAACTGAATTTTCTCTGGGTTGAAACCAGAGAAATTCTCTAGTTTTTGAACTAAATTTTCTCTGTGACGTGAATTTTCTCTGGACTAATTTTCTCTGGACCAATTTTCTCTAGATCAACTTGAGGGACCTTAGACATTATGAAAATATTAGATGTCATTTATACTATAAAATCTTAGTACAAGGGACCTTAAAAAAAAACCCCTAAAATTTATTTTAGTAGAACTTTTCACGGCATGCTAATGCATGCCATGTAAAGTTATAATATTTTATGACATTAAATATATGTGATTTTAAGTGTAAATATTTTACGACATATTTTTGTAAACTGTGAAAATATATATTTTTTATGACATACTTTTACATATCATAAAAAAAATCGAATTGAATTTTTTTAGTAGAAGTTTTCGCGATATGCTAATACATGCCATGTAAAGTTATAATATTTTACCACATGAAATGTATGTTGTCTTAAGTGTAAATATTTTATGACATATTTTTGTAAGCCGTGAAACTATACATTTTTTATGGCATACTTTTGCATACTATAAATATATGAATTAATGACCTACATGGTATGAATGCTATTATTGAAAAGGCATTAACGGCTTGCAAAAAAATATGTCGTAGAATGTACTAACTACGACATACATTCGATGGATGCCGTAAACATGAAAATCGTAAATAGTTAGTTTTGTTGTAGTGAGTCTAGAACCAACCATTTTGCTACAAGATTTACAAACAACAACCTTACAAGTATGCACATTATCCAATTTCATAATAAATAAATAAATAAAAATAACGAAATTCATCAACACCATTCCGTGAACAAACCACCTACAACCCGTAGATGACGTCATCATACATTCAATAATTACTCTTGTTACATCATTCTTCAAATAATTAACTGCAAAACCACACTCAACTGCATACTTGCCAAAGCAATGTGGAACGTCGGTACTCCACCATCAAATTATTGACCGACACTGTGTATAATTTTCTTTCAAACTTTCACTAACTACAGAATCAAATCTAGAAGAATTATCATCAACCTCCATAATTTTCCTATCACCCATAACAACATTAACAACACGAGAACTGTCACACCCCCAAACTATGATAATAATAAATTCAACTCATAAGCGAAAGAATAACATAAATAAAATAATTTCATTCATCAGAGTTCGTATTACAAAAGATTACACATGCAATATATATTCATTAATGTTCATCCTGAATCTATAGCATGTACTATCAGTTAATAATTAACAAATATATATATATATATATATATATGAATGCCCTATGGGCTTACACCTTTCCAAATCATCGCTTGGTTACAACAAAAGAGAGTCATAAGCTCTGTATATATAAAGCCCTTGGCTTGGATAAACATTAGGCACAAAACAACAAAATAGAGCTTCCAGCTCCTAGATCCTCCCAAGCTACATTCTTGGAGGAAGCATGTCACCAGTACGTGAAAATGATTTCCCAAGTAGGGTGAGCCAAAACCCAGTAGAAACATACTAACACAGCATATGAGAATTTACAAGATATAAGTATGATGCACATATTCATTGTCCTATGACAAAATTCGTAGGACTCTTTCCACAACCATGTTATACTAAAAACTTATATCACAATTTATTCATTTTGGTTTAATAGATACATCCACTATATTTAATCCGTCAACAGAGGTTACACCTCACAAGTTTCTAACAGATAAATCATCATATAAACACATTCACTTCCATTTGTCATTTTACGAAAATTTCATCCGTGGGAATCGGCACCCATGTATACAAATGGTTTTTGGGACTTTCATCCTGAATAGGGATGGCAATTTGAACCCGGTCCGACGGGGACCCGACCCTCCGTCCCCGATTAGAATGGTTTTTCCCCAAAAAAAACTCCCCACGGGCCGGGGATGGTATTAAAAAATGCATTCCCAATTAGTTTCGGGCTGGGGCCAAGGACGGGGATAGCTCTCACAGCCCTGTTCCCGGCCCCGCCCAATTTACCCCGAAGTAAAATTACTTTTTTATCCCTCATCCTTTCATATATATATATATACCTACATACCCCTCACTGTTTGGGATCATTCTCAGATTGATCACTCTTAGATTTGGATGTCTCTCTCTCTCTCTCTCTCGGGCCTTTGTTACTCGTTCCCTCTCTCTCATATTCGAGACCTCTGTTACTCTCTCCCTCTCTCTCACATTCGAAACCCTAACCTCTCAAACCCACTTCGATTGAAGCAAATAATCGTCGATCGAAGCAAATAATCAATCGCAGAGATGATGCAGACGAGAGTCGAACGCTGAGAGTCGATCATCGCAGCTCCTTTCCCCCTCTCTCTCTCACCCGCTGCTCCACCACCGCCTCTGTTATTCCACTATCGCAG